ATAAAATGGCACCCTGGATGCCTCCTGCCCTAGAAATTACACTCTTCAGCTGGCTCCAAACTGTTCTTTATTACTACATACGGTGGTGCTGAAGGGTTGCCTAGAAAATTAGTGCCACTGCAGTTCCCCTTTGCAGTTCCCCCTTCAGTGGTGGGTTATTTGTACTGGGTTGTTATTATCCTCCCCCAGGGACAGTGGGCAGGAGCACTGTCCTGCAATGGTGGGTGGATTTCAGGCATGGTGGGATCCAGGAGCCAAATGGGGCTTGCAGCTCTGCCTGGGATGCCAGGTAATGTCTTATCTCACCTGCGGTAATAACACACTTACTGAAATCCTATGCTGGGAGTGGCAGCACAGTTGCAGATTTTCAAGGGCTTGAGCCCAGATCTGAGACCATACGGACTGGGTACCTCTGCTTCAGCTGTGTGGAGGTGCCACTCAGGGGAAACTTCTGGAGAGTTTTGAAGGGTCACAAGAAGTTTGAATCTCTTTGTATGCCTTCTTGTGTGTTTCTTGATAACCGCACACTCTTATACGTAGCCTAGATGCTAATGGCTGCACAGCTTCTCTCATGGATTTTAGGAAGAGCTGCAGGTGCCCCCTGCCATTCTTGCAGCCCATATGGTTTTGCTGAAAAATAGCTCAGGAACCAGTGGGATTCAAATCCTATAAAGACTCCTGCGTGTGTTCAGGCTCACATCTGCTGTCAGGTGCTCTGCACATCAGGGTCTCAGAGATTGGTGCTCTGTAGGTGTTATTAGATAATTTTTGATATTTAAAGAAGTACTGACATTTCGAGTAATCATAGTATTGTAAGGCACCTTGCATGGTAATATTTCACTGGGAGATTAGTTTCCCCATCAAAGCAAGCTCTTCACTTCCTCAGTTTATTTTTATTTTGTACCCTGCATTCCTTTAAAGGACACTTTCATCTCCAGCCTGGCTGTTTCTCTGTTATCTGCTTTTACTCAGAACTGGGTTGAAGATTGCTGTGGGATCCAAGTGTAAAAAGCCTGAGGCAATTCACAGAAACCAGGAGTAAAATTTTTAAAGAGGCCAGTTATTGAGGGAGCTGGATTAATGATCTGTCATCACAACTTAGCCACATTCACCACTGACCTTTCACAGGGAGGATGTTCTTGATAAATGTAGATCATTACTGAGTTCTGACATAAAACAATAATGGCATTCTGTGTTTCTTGGCAGGCTGATCAATATTTTATCTCCCAAAGCATGCAGAACTGCTAAACAGGATGAATTATGTCACTGCTGCAAACCAGAGCAAGAAGCACCATTGCTTGGAGTGAGCAGGGCATGTAAATTTGATAATTATTTGCCACATTTTAGCAATCAGAACTTCATATGCTGGATTGTTCTGTTACGTTTTGTTTTTAATTCGAATAGTTCCAGGCTGCACTGGGTTTGAAAATGCTCTAAACTGATAAGAAGGGCTTGTTTCTTTGGAGATCTTCCCCAGCATGATGTGTGAAATAATGGACTAGAATTGAAGAATCAGTTTAGGGCATGACAGAATAGCAGTTTTATCTCATTCAGAATTTGTATGGGTTTCTTTCTGTGTGTTGGTTCCCCAACTGTGTGGTGGGGATGGTGCCTGAGTACACACAGGGGGTCAGCTGGCAGTACCACACAGGAACCTGGAACACATATGGTGGCATTTCTGATGTTTAGAAACAGGGAAGGGAAGAAACACTTCAAAATGCATCTCTGAAGAGCGGTAGTGGTCAGCTAAAATCATAGAATCAGAAAATCCTGAGTTAGATGTCCACAAGGATCATCAAGTCCACGGGATAGCCCCAGAAATCCCACCATGTGCCTAAGAGTGTTGTCCAAATGCTGCTTGATTTCTGTCAGGCTTGGTTTCCCTGGAGAGCCTGTTGCAGTAGCCAACCACCCTCTGGGGGAAGAACCTTTTCCTAACATCCAACCTAAACCTCCGGGTACAAGTCGCAATTGTGAACAGAATCCAAGTCCCTAGGAAGCTCTAACAAGGAAACCAAACTGAGAGACATCCATTAGCAAGGCCAACCAGGGAGAGCAGCCTGAGATGAGATAAATTGCTAATAATGAGCTTGTGTTGCAAAGGAAGCTTCTGGGGCCAGTCAGCAGAGAGAGAGGAGAGTGGGGATAAGTGAGAGGGCACACATACAGCTTTTCTGACATTCTTCTTGCTTAGCAGTCGTATTTGTAATACCTGGAAGAACAGAACAAGAGGTAGCAGAAGCCTAAAGAGAGTATTTAGTAGATAAAGTTGGTAGATTCTTGGCGTAGTGTAAGAAGATTACAGATGTCAGGACAGCAGGAGAGGGTGAAAGGGAAGGAGACGATATACAGAGCTTTGCTCTCCATGACCTATAAACCAGCTCAGTATCAGCAGTGGGTCAGCCCACCCAAGTGTCACTGTGTGTGTTGCCTGTAGCTGTGCTGGTGCTCACTAATGGAAACCGCAAAGCAGAAATAGAAGTGGAAGAAAATTAAATCACTTTCCCTATCCTCATTAGCCCTAGATACATTTCTGGGATTAACTTTTGACTGAAAATAAAATTCGAGGTCAGAGAAAAAATATTGCAGTAGCTAAAATAGTATTTACAACAGAATAGCTTGATTAAATGGATACAGTAATCAGGTTTTCTCTTAAATAAGCTGGTGATTGAATGAAAAAAAAACAATTCATGCTGCCTTCACAAACAACAAAATGACATGCTTGGGAATAAAGAAGTCAAGAATAATAAACACAATTAATAGTAGCTGAATAGCCTTGTTTTTTCTGTTAAACAAGACTGATCCCAGGTGGGACCCAGTGGTTTTTGGAGGTTGTTTAGAGAGAAGGAAAAATTTATCAGCTGCTTAATATCCCTGAGCAGCAAGAGATGCTCCAAACCAGATGGGACTGAGTTCAGAGTCTTGCAATTCTTGTTCATGTAGCAGGAGGGCACTGACATGAGTGGTGAGCACATGTTCAGATTCTGTACCCTCTCTCACCTTCTTAAGTCATGATGCTTTTGAAGATGGGAGCACAAAATATTAAGGGTGAAAAAAAGACTTGACAATAGATGGGTTTACTATCAGAGAAATGCCTACCACCTAGAATTTTAATTGGGTTTTGTTTAGAGTGGGACCAAGAGGTCTAAAATGTTGCAGCTCATCAAGAAAAGGACAGGAACATTAGTTGTCACTGTTATAAGTGAGAGACAAAAGTCTCAATATTCAGCAAAATTTAGATTGCTTTATTTGATATAGGAAGAGCAAGCAGCGCGCTGGGGAGCATGAGGGGTCACCGCCCACTCCATGCTCCACCCAACCTCGGTTTGCAGCCTCTTCTTATACTGTGGTTTCTCCTTATAATCAACAATTTTTGGATTTTTGTTGTCATAAGCAGTGGTGGTGAAATAAACATCCTTACACAAATTCACAAAGCCTTTGGGTGATAATCAGTCACAGATAGCCATCTGGTCCTTGTAGATAACCACCAGAGAAGTTCTGGAAGTCTGGTGCTGGAGATAGGCAGTATTGATTAGACAAAGGCAGGAAGGGCTTTTTGGGAAGTCCGATTTTGCAAGCTGGTAGCCGATACAACTTATTTGGAAAACATAACATATTATAATGTAACATAATACAACATAATATAACATAACAAGGTGATTTTAAACAGAATTATTTTATCATATAATTTCCATTATCTAGTGTCCATGCTTCACTTCAGAGCTTCGAATTCTGGTTTATACAAACCCCAATGCTTTTGTGATTAACACGAATCTTTTATCAATTATCACATCACTGTGCCAGAGTCTTCTGTTATTTTTCAGAGGAATAATGTTTTGTCTTTGGGGAGATGATCTACAGGAGTATTGTCCCTTAAACTGAGGTGGGACCATATTCTCTTAGATTTAAGATTAAATCTTCAATTTAATCCAACAGGATCACTGATGGGATTTAAACGAAAAAAGTTTGTTTTAAAACAAGTAAAGAGTAAGGCTATTTACGTTGTAGGGAAATTACATTATAGACATAAGGACATCTGAGGGGAGCAGCTGAACGAGTTGATGCTGTTGGTGGGGTATGGTTGATACCCACAGAGTGTGGAACAGCTGGAGCCTGAGGGTCTGCTCCAAAGCTCCTGAAAGGCACCAGCCACTGTGCCCTGCACTAACAGATTTGCACAAAAAGATAGTTGCCATTTCTCATTCCGCTGAGTTCTGCCAGACAACAGACAAACAGAAAAGGGTAATAATATATCACTTTGGGCATGGGAATGCATTTCCTTGAGGAGAAGAGCTGTGAGAGGCCTGCATGCTGCAGGCACAGTGTGAGCTTTCCGTGTCAGAAGGGTTCAATCTGGTTTCTTCAGCCAAGCCAGAGTCACTTCTGGGAGAGTGGCTTGAGGGTTTTTCCCTGATAATAGCCTTTTTCCCTGGTCAGGGGCAGGACAGTGTTTATTTCAGCATGCAGAGGGATGATGAGAGCAGGCATTAGTGGCACCACAGCTGCAGGGGCTCCCCACAGCCCTGCGTTCCTCACTGTCCTTCCTCTGGCTCTACCACCCCAGGCTGCCTCTAAGGTGTCCTTGAGATCAGCCCCATGTTTGACACAGGGTGGCACTCTGAGGTGCCATTTACATTAGTGGAAATTCCTAAACATCAGCTTCCCCTGGTTTATTTTTTACTTTATGGGATAAATTTATTCACATAGAAAAGCATAGAGCCGATTTAATATTTGTGGGAGTTACAAACTGAGTGTGGAAGTCTGTAACTGAAGCCCTATAAAATCTGGAAGGTAACATGCTGGAGAGTATCCGTGACAGCAGGATTTAGAAAATCTGCCAGCTATTACAAAAGGTAACAACTACAGGAGCCCCTCAAGTGCAGAGCTGAGTGGAGCTGAATATGCAGACATATGTACCTAATTTTTCCCTTTAGGACCTCAGTCCTTTGAAAAGATCAAGGTAAGTGCATATGGTCCAGAAATGCTCTCTTGTCTCTCAGGTGACACCTGCACAATGGCAGACTACAGCCAACTCAAGAGCATCCTGCTGGACTTGCAGGCTCGCCGGCAGAGCCCGCCAAGCAGCCTGGCCAAGGACAGAGCAGCCCAGAAGCGCTTCCTAATTGAAGAGCTGTTTAAGCACTTGGATCTGAACAGTGATGGGCATCTTATCGGCTCTGAACTGGCTCAGGTAGGTTTATTGTTCAGTGAAAATGGAATTATGAAGTGGATTTTAATTTCAAAGTGTGAATTGAATGTAACACAGCAGCACTCATGTGGGAATGGTCATTTGTACCTGTCCAGTCAGTTGCAGGTAAAGGAGGAAAATCTAACACAGGCAATGAGTCTCTCTCTGCATCTCCCAGGAGTCAGTCTTGTTTCAAACATTTAAAGCTCATCTCCAAACATTTTCCAGCTGGCATTTTCCAGCCCCATCCATACTCCTCAAAATAGATTATAATCCTTGCTCTGCTATCTGACATCTTCTGAAGTATTTCCAGTTAGCCGGCTTGGGGAGAATTAATTTAGATTTTTTTAAGTGCATGTAAGTTAGGCAGAAATCTCTCCATTCTTCTCCCTGCCTTCTGAACTGTGCATTAGCATAGAGTAATGTGACAGCAAAGTTGGAATGTTTTTCAAAAAGTTTGTTGTCCTAAAATCCCTGGGCAGATGCTGAAATGTTGATTAGCAGAAATTTATAGAAAATGTAAGAGCTTGAAAAAACTGTTATTTCTAATTTCAGGCATGCTGTGCTGTTGGAATTATTCTCATTGGTAAAATGAACCAAACAGCCATCCTGGGTACTCGATCTGTGTCCTCAGCTTGCCCTTTGCACATGCAGACCTGAGAAAACAGTCCTGTAATATGTCTTTTCCATTCCATTACATCATCCATGAGAAGTATTAGAAACAAATGCCTTTTAAGAGCCCTATGGAAGCCAGTCCTATCTGGGACCTATTCCAGTTTCCAAAGCTGTTCCTTTGTAGAGTTATGGAATGGTTTGGGTGGGAAGGGACCTTAAAGTTTATTTCATTCCAACCCCTGTCATGGGTTGTTCAGAGTAAGTTCACCCTTGAGTGTTTCATCTGCACTCTTACTTCCCAGGGAACACAGAGTGTGTTGCAGGCATGACCCTGCTCCTCTCTGAGCTCACTCCTCTCCAGGACAGTTTGTGCTGCATTTTAGTCCTCAGGCTGTTAGCAGGATGCTTGATCCTTTCCACACAATGAAAAGTGTCATCATAAATTCCCTTAGATCTTGGAGCTGTGAATACATGCAATATTTCCTCAGAAGGCAATGATTTTTTCATAAAGACATGGTAGCTATAAGAAAACACTTTTATCTGAATTCAAAGCCATCTTTTACAGTCGCATTCAAGTGTTGGTTCTACTCTCTAAGTTTTTTGCCCTTTTTACATGAAACTTATTTTGTTGGGATTTTAAAACTCTCATGGAAATAAAGGTTTGGCAGCCTGCAAGCAATTGTTATTGCAAAGGAGCACAGACAGTGCTATAAGGTCTGCTTCAAAGTTCCTCTGGGCTTTGTTTGCAGATGTGCCTGGAGCCCAGATCTGTCTCACAAGTGCATGCAAAGATATTGGCTACTCTTATTTTAATTCTTCTCACTGTTATCAAAATCAGTAAATGTGCCTGTACATCTGGAGCTCACTACAGTTTGATAGACCAGAATAAGTTCAGCCTCAGCCATGAGCCCTCTCACCCAACCATTCTCCATACAATTTGGCCACCAGCATGGCTGAGTTGACAATGAGATCACCTCTCAAAAGACAAAATAATGCCAATTAATGCACAATTAAGATAAGCCATGTGTGCCTTTAATCCTGAGCTGAGTGGCTCTGGTCCTGGGTGCCATAGTGGCAGCATGGCTGAGTCCCAGCCAAGCTAGGGGTACATCTATGAGGTAGCTTTGGGCTCTCACAGCAGAACAATTCACAGTTTATTTGTAGTATGCCAATTCTTTATTTATCTCTTTAACAAATGATTTTTATGTGCTCTTGCAAGGCCGGTTTATCCACTCAGGTTTCAAGGGACATTTTATTACATAACAAGCAATATTTAGTAACTCAGGTTATAGTCTTAATATAACTATTCTTTCCTCTTTCTCAGATTTGTAATTGATTTGCATTAGCTCTCTATTTTTAAGCTCTCTACAACTTTAAATTTCCCCCAAAGATGGCAATGTCATTGCCCGTGGGCAGAGGAAGCTGAGCTGAACATGATGCAGTGAGATCTTGTTTCCTCAGGTTGCTGGATGAGCTGGTGTTGTGCCTTTGCTTTGTTTTATTTAAAAGAAATATAGTCTCTTGAGCACTATAACCTTGTCTGCGAGCAAAAACTCAAGGCAGGTAACTTGCACTGCTGCAGTAAAAAGCAATTTTTAAGACCTGAAAGTGGATCTTTAGGAGGCCCATTGCAGAGGGATTTACCCCAAAGGAGAGTCTCTCCAGGGGGCATGGTCCTTCATCAGTGCAGAACCCATTTTTTTGTTTTCCACAACAGAATTGCTTTGAGCAAAACAATGCCAACAGATGGCCCATCCCCTTCTATTTAGAGCTGGTTTGCCTCCTGTCTGCTGGTAGACCCTATCCAGTGTTTTCCCTCTGGACTCAACAGTGAAATCCCCATGTAGTTTTGCAACCATGGATATATAAGGCTATTAACAATGGTGGTAATTGGAATGTTTTTTCCATTTAAATCTTTACTGTATTTTAAAGTCAGGTTTATAAATCAACTAAGTGTGTCCCAGCTGAAGTGTTTTCCACTGTTTCTTTTTCCTGACGTTAAATCAAAAGGACTAGTAAAAACTTGTCAGTCTTATTAAAAGTTAATCAATTTTCTATACAAAGGGTAGACAGAGAGAAATTTTCATCTTTAGAGGATTGATCTTGGAAGTTATGGTTGATCTCACTTATACTGAATATTTTTTACTTGCGAGGTATCGCTGTAAGGCTAGGGAGAGGCAAAAAAATACAGTCACACAGGCTTCATCCAGAAAGTAGAAGAAGCTATTTATTGCAGGAGTAGACACATTTTTATAGACTGGTTTGCAGAATCAAAGGATAGAATAAGGTCATTGGTCCAAGGAAGGCAACACTTCATGTAAACATGCTCTTACCAAAACATCACATTCCTCACGCACTCCTCCTGTACACAACACCAGGCGCTAAACTTTGTTATTAATTCTTTCTCTTTTGTTTTCCTTTGAATAGCTTGGGAAAACTCAAACTGCTGTTTTCCCTGGCTCTCACCAGCATCCACAGCTAGGTGAAGGGTCATTTTTTTTAGCATAATTACTTTAAATTGCTTCAACATAATGGGTCAAGACTAGAATAGTAAATAAAAGAGTCCCTGGCCTACAGGAAAAAGCTTTCCTATCTGGAAGATGCAACAGTTCAACAGTTTTGTTCATGTTCTACAATAAATTCAGAGAACTCAAATGAAATGTTGAAAAAACACAAAAAGCAAACTGTCAAGGGTTAGAAAAGCACATCAGTGTTGAGTAGTTGTCTGTTCTACTCCTAAAATCAGGGAATACAATTTTTTACTTACTTACAGAGGAGAAAGGAGAAGCACACTTTTGTTTTTCCCTGTTGAATATTTATTTTTCAGTCTGTTTTCAAAATGAAAATGCATTTCTGTGCTGCTGGTAAAGGAAGGGGCTCTTCAGTCCATGGTCCATGAGGTGCTGCAGGAATATGAATATCTTGATAGAAAGAAAATATATAATGATAGATAGGATAATCTATCTATTTATCTATGTCCCCAAAGGTCATTTCATGGAAGATCTACCAGGTGAGCAGTGCATAGCATTACATTACATGTAAGGTTACCTGTTCTCTTTGCTACAGCTAATGAAGAAGGAGGACCTGGAAGATAATTTACTGGGTTGTACACTTGAAGACCTTCTCCAGTTTGATGATTACAATAACGATGGCCACCTGACCCTGCAGGAGCTCTACACAGCCTTCCGTGAGTCCCTGCTTTGGTCTGTCCTGGGTGTTTGAAGCATGTGAATATCTATGAGGGCACTGTTGTCTTCCTAGACGTGATCAGCAAAGATGATCCCTTTTTTGTCTTTAATGCCATGAAAACACTTTGGAAGGCTTGTTTCCGAAGGTGTCTGTGCTCCACAGTGTAAGCATGAAGCAGGAGGTTGGTACAGGTCTGTCAAGTTTATTGTTTTCTTCTGTGTTTTGTTGTGATTCTTGTTGATGGCAAGGGAGAGATGATGGCCTGGCCAAGGTCTGTAGACCCGAGTATGTGGTTTGATTAACCCTAAAGAAACAAGATGGAAACCTGTCCAAAGATGCTGTGATAATATGAGTTAGTTTGCTGTGGGGGAGATGTTTACTGAATATTTTGCCTGGGAATTATGTTTCCTACATTTTGTTTCCATGTTAATGAGTGCATTAAAGTGTGCAATCATTATACAAATATCAGCATCCTGTGCAAGCATCTGAGGATCACAGATCTACTTAAACAGTGGGATATAATAAATACTTGTGTTATTCTGCTTATCCTCATAAATTTATGTTCTTGCTTTAAGTTAAGCATTCGTTGGAGTCCTTCCTTGGAAAGGCCTGCACTGTCTCCTTCATCTGGGTGATAGAAAGTTGCATTGTTGCCCATGCTTTGGGATATTAAAGAAAAAGAGAAATGGGCAGAGTTATTCAGTAATCAGGACAGTGAGCTACAGAGAACGTGGGTGTGGTTAAGACATGGATAAAAATGAAGCAGGATTCAACCATTGACAGTTGAGTGCTGGGAAAGGGCCAATAACAAGCTGGTTACCTCTTAAGCAGGATTCTGTTCTAAAGAGGGTAATGTCTGTTTTCTTGCTTTACAACTTTTCATTAAAAAAAAGCACAATTTAGATAATAATCACAGAATGGTTTGAGTTGGAAGGGACCTTGAAGATTATCAAGTTCCATCCCCCTGCCATGGGCAAGAACACCTGGCACTAGACTCCACTCCAAGCCCTGTCTAACCTGGCTTTCAACATTTCCAGGGATGGGGCAGCCACAGCTTCTCTGGGCAGCCTGTGTTAGGGCCCCACTACCCTCACAGGGAAGAATTTCTTCATAAAATATCCAATCTAGCCCTGCAGTCTGTCAGTTTGAAGCCATTCTCCCTTGTCCTATCATACCATATCCTTGTCAAAAGTCCCTCTTCAGCTCTCCTGTAGGCCGCCTTTAAATATTGGAAGGCTGTTTAAAGTGTTTTAAGATTAGCCCCAGTTGTCGCCATGGGCCTGCTTGAACCACACATGCATTTAATTCAACACAGCAGATACACAGTAAAACATAAAATCTCATACATTAAGAAAGCATAAAGTGTATTAATTCAGCTGTAAAGGCTTGACATGCAGTTATTTGGGAGCATATTTGGATCAGTGGGTTCTCAAAGTCACATCCGCTTAAACCTAAATTCCAAGAATTATTTCTATGGGTTTTAGTTCAGTGGATTTTAAGTAGCCAATGAAAATAAGGCAAGTACAAAATATTAAGCAATTAATAGCAATAGTATTGATAAACTGCAAAACTGTCATAACAAAACACAAGATGTAACAATGATTGTTTGTCCAAGGAATTTTGTATCTGAACAGAATTGCTCACCATCTGAAGCTGAAAACCAGACTGACTTCTCCATTTTTAGTTTTCCCAGAATCATGACTTTTATCAAGAGCTGGTAATGGCTCACCAGCTTTTAATTTAAAACCAAAGTTAATTGCTTGCAACTTCTGAAATTTGGGGAACCTGGAAGCAAATTTAGTACCTGGTTAAAGTATATTTTTTCTCTTTATTTTATTAAATGATGTAGGAAAAAAATCTCAAAAATACTTTAAACACTTAAGGGCGCACTTTTGTTCATGAAAATTTTGTTTATAAGATTTCTGTTTTGCTATAAGTCAGAATTTTTCTGCTGAAGAATTTACTGCAGCAGTAGCTTAAAAGTACAGCATCCTGCACATTTCCCCTATTTTTTGCCTATTAGAGAGATCTTTTTGTTGCTTGAAGTTCACCCAAGCCATGAATTTTGGCTGTCACAGTCTGGCAGCAAGATATGGGCACAGCTGCTCAGCAAGCTGAGTAATGTAATTACCAGAATTCAGTGACAACAGAAAGTCTTAATCTAATTTATCCTCTCAAAAACTCTGTCATGTCTGTTTTGGTGCTCTGTGCTCTGGTGGAGTGTCGCAGTGTTGGAAAGGTTTGAAAATGACCTTGATAATGTGAAGAGCTTCCCAATTTGACATTCTTGTGCTGCATTAGAAGTTGTGTTTCATTCGAGAGTCTTGTAGCCTTGCTGTAACTCACAGAGCCACAAAATGGCCTTTTCCTCTCACTCCATGTATGTCTCTTGCTTGCCCTTGACCCATCCTCTCTCTCTAGGACCCTCAGGGACCCAAAGGTTATCTTTCTTCCTCATCATGTTGATCATCTGTAAATAAATGAAAAGTGCATGGATGAGAGAAATCCAGAGTCTTACATCTTCTGAAATATGGTTTTACTAGTACAAGTGCTACATCTAATAGGTACTATTTTTCATCATTACGTCTACCCATGCTAAAAATTTTCATACGCATTTTAACGTACAGTTTTGAATTATGGACAGAAATAGTGGCCTTCCTTCTAAACCTACCATCTTTCTACTGATTTTCTGAAAGTTCTTTTGTTCCTTAACCCCAAGAACACAACTGTTAAGTTTTCTTGCATCTATGAGGATGACTAGAAATATCTGTTAACACGGGATTAAAGTGTCAACTCTTCAAATTGCCTTAATCATACACAAGTAGTGCATGAGACAGATGAAGCACTCTCCTGGCAACTCTGGTAAGAACCACTTCTAGGTGTCTTCTAATTCCTCATTAATTAATTTTCATTAAATAGGGAGTCTCAGGATCATAATTTTAAAAAAATTCTGATAGGATGATCTTGAGACTTTTCACATGCCAAAAATAGAGTACTACAAAGATTGTCTGTTATCTTTTCTTTAAGTTGTCACAAAGATTCAATACATGATTAATAAATGAAAGTCTTAGTTGTCATAAGAGCTAAAGCAGTGCATGCATCTAATTAATCAGCACGGAGATAGTTTGGTGAGTTGGCAAGCATATCACTCAGCTGAGTCATACTTTTGAGAATGCTTAGACGGGTGGTTTTTGGATATAACTTCTGGCACTATATCTGACTGGAGGTCATTAGAATTAGGCATGACACTTCTGGCATTCCTGTTGTTTTCCCTAATGGGCAAGTGGGTTGGCAGATGTGAAAGCTCAACTTAAGGAAAAAAGTCTCTGTAATCTAGATCTGTATCATCATCATCATTGTCATCAATATGGACAGGTCAATATTTAATACAGATAATTGAGGGAAAGGGAAAAGATGCATTCAATCAAAATTCCTTTATCCTGTCAACACTGTTTAGCTAATAAGGAGTTATTAAACCAACAATAAAGTCCCCTGAAATTCTAGATCATGGCCCATTAAAGTACTTTCCTGATGTCGTAGCTGGACCAAAACAACCTACAAAGGAAGTTTGAAAGAAAACTACTAAATTGTTAATTTTTAGTCCAGTCGTTATTTGCCATGGTCTATTGCATATTAGTTACATGTAGATGGAAAATTGCTGTTTCTGTAAGATGAGAGGCATGTCATCTATGGATATATTGCTATCTAAAGAACACAAGTAGGGACATTTTTCATGCAGGAATGAATACAGCAGCAGCTGCAGGCTTAATGTGCTCTTCTCTTAACTCTAATTAAGAAGTATAAGATGATGTTTTTCTTTCCTCCCTGATTCTGCTTGAGATCAAGTCTTCCCTTTTTTAATATGTCCTTAATATTAACCAAAAAAGCACAAGGAAGAAATATGAAAATGAGATATATATATACTTGCAGCAGGAGGTCAGTGAAATGCTGGATAACAGCCAGGGAGGGTGGATGGTGCCAGCCCCAGGCCCTGGGGCTCTCCCAGTACCACCACTAGGGACTGGGAGACCAGATTGAATTTGAATTAACTGGGTGAAAAAATAAATTTGAGAGACTGGGCTGGGCATGAGTGCCAGGTAAATCACCGACAATGCAGAGAAGCAGTGTTGAACTGCCTCCAGATTTACTGCAGTGATCCTAAAATCTCCAGGAGCTCTATTCCCTACAGCCATGTGGTGTGGAGAAGGGAGCAATCCATTCCTGATTCCTCCACCATCTTCCAGAGGCTCACTCATAGAGAAGTGTGAAGTATAAGACAGATTTATTTTTGAGTTGTGCATGTTTCAATTCACTAGAAACTACTTTAGAGTGGAGCTTTTAATTGTCCCAAAATTGTGGGAATTGGTGCTGACTGTGAAAAATCAAAGCTCTGCACTGAGAAACAGGGAATGAAACATAAAAAGAGGCCTGCGGGGTCAACTGGAAGAGGAAGATGTTAAGTGAGGAGGAAGCTTTCAGCAGGGTATCTATTCTTGACAGATATATCAGCATATCCAACTCTGTGGTCTCATAATAAACAAGGTGATAATGGTAAATAAATACTGTTTGAGGAAAGCAAATACCTCTATTTGCTATCTCTGTGTGGGTGTGTATATATATATATACATATATATATAATATATATATATATATGCACTCCACATAGGTGTGGCAAGCCAGGTGTGCCAGCAGCAATTGCACCTGTACAATCTACATTTAGATGAAGTGTTTATTCACAAATTCATGAAGCTGTTCTTGATGGCACAGCACCTACAGTCAGGTATTTTTTGCTGTTTCCTTCCAACTGAATTGATCAAGCCCAGAAAATTATATTGGACAAGTATATTGTGAGATTAAATGCTTTGCTTGCAGTGTTTTCTTAAGCAATGTTGTAGCAACAGTTGCCTACAGAATCAAATCATAGTCTGAAATATTGACAGTTTGTGCCCCATGCTCTGCCTGTCCTGCTGTCATCTCCTTAGTATGTGGTTTTTCTTT